ACATAAAAAATTGAGATTTGATATATAAATAAAACGTAACATAATTTATATTACATTTTCATTTATTCTAAAATAACATTATCTGTAGTATAATTAACACGTAAAAGTTGTTGGTACTTGTTTATTCGATCTAAATACGGGGTAGCCCATGCAGCAGCACACAGATAGCAGAAATGAAAAAAAATGTGAAGTAATAGTAGGGATTGGGTATCCTTCTGCCAAGTCTAGTTTCACATAATGGTTACGGTTAACGTACCCAATTGCAAAACTTACATGTTGATACCATGGTGGGGGAGTACACATAAGCGGTAAGTATGTTGAACAAGTACCAACAATTTTTACGTGTTAATGAGTTATGATGTGGCTGAGAATTCTTCTTGGAATAGTACGTAGCCTCTCCCTTACCACTCATTTTATATATCATTTTTTTCTTTTTTAGGTAAATCATCCCCTAATGTGTATATATATGATATATGCATGCTTCCCTCCAAGTCCCAAAAAAAAAACACCAACTTTACTGTTTCTGTGTGCTTTATCAGCAACCACTATATAGCTTGGAAATCAGGAGAGGGGTCTTTGGGTTGTTTTAGTTGGAAATTAAGCGTAAGATGATCATAATAAGAACAACAAAATGACCTAAGGTCGAGCCTCATTTATAAATTTTTTTTTGTAAGGGTGTCCGGGCCAACGCCCGACTAATCACTTGCAATTTTGGAGGCTAAACATGACCCCACTTAAATGTCGCCAACACTCCCCTCCCAGGGCTCGAACTTAGGTTCATGACTATGTCATGCACAAGCCTTTACCACTAGGCTGGAAGGTCTTTGACTCATTTATAAATTTTATGGGACCAAAAAAGTAAATTGTCACTTTTTTGGTATGAAATTACATATCAAAAAAAGAATTTTAAAAAATGTTTGATTTAAAATGAAATTACATGTCAAAAGAAAAAAATTTAAAATTAAAAATGAAAATGAAATAAAGGAAAACAAAGAAGATGAAAAATAAGGTAATAATATAAAATAATATGTAAATAAATAAATAAATATAAAAATCTAATAATATATATATATATATAGGGTATATTTCTTTTACAACCTTGTGCATTTGTACAACCTTTGCAACCCAATTAATTGAGATATTTATAGAAATGATTGGAGTTCATTTATTATGATTTGAATATTTATGGAATATGAATAGAGTTTATTAATTATGATTAATATTTTATATTAGGAAACAATTAATTGATTAAAAATTGAATGGTTGAGATGAGGGTTGTATAGGGTGTAGAAATAGCAAAGGGTGTAGAATAACATCCCTATATATATATATATATATATATATATATATATATATAGTAATTTGTAATAAAAATAATAAAATAATATATTTTTTTAATGTAAATATATATAATAAAACAAAATTAATAAAATGATTATTGAGGTGATGTTTATAAAAAAGTTTGATTGACACAATTTCCTAGAAAAATCACACCCCCTACAAAGGGGTGCCATTAACACCCCCAATACAAAACCGGGGGCAAGAAGAGTACAGGGAAACATGAGTCGATTAAAAACAAGAGTTGATTGGGTGGGTCTCGATCATAAGAACCAGAATCTTGCTTTTGCTTCAGTGACTGCCCCATTGTAAACGAACCGAACGAACACGAACGAACACGAACGAAGGCTTGTTCATGTTCGTTCGTTTAACTTAACCGAACAAACGAACGAACATAAACGGTAAACGAACGAAAATCTTTGTGTTCGTGTTCGTTCGTTTAGAAATCAGGCATATTCGTGTTCGTTTATGTTCGTTCATTAACATGCTATAAACGAACGTAAACGAACGAACATAAACAAACGGGCTAWACGAACATAAACGAATATTATTTGAATTCAAAGTATATAATCAAAAGATTATATATTAAATTCAATATATAAACGAACATAAACGAACGAATATAACCGAACGTAAACGAACGGTAAATGAACGAACGTTTACGAACATAAATGAACGAACGAGACTCTTGTTCATGTTCGTTCGTTTAACTAAACGAACAAAAAAATTTGTTCATGTTCGTTCATTTATTAAATAAACGAACATAAACGAACTTCCGGCCGAATGATTCACGAACGGTTTGCTGAACGTTCGGTTCGTTTATAGCACTAGCCCCATTATTTGAAGACGATTCCTTTGTATATATGGTCAAAGTCAAAATGCCTTAATTCCTACCAAATATATTCTCTTCATAAATTGATGGATTTCTCCTTTTTATAACTATAAATTTAACGCTAATTAATTAGATCAATCTACAAACATCATTAAGTAATCCTTTAATTACTATTACTATTACTATTACTGTTACTATTGTTTATATAACAACTTAACCTACACAAGAACCATTTAAGTCTAGATTTTATACAGTTAATCTAAGATCGGCAGTTGGCCATGATCAGATCAGTAGCTAGTTACTGGTTAATGAAAGCCTTTATATGAATCATCATTTCATGGGTTCGGGTCTGAGCCATTGGGTAATTCTTCAATACTTGAAACGCATGTCCAACATCTTTGTAGACCATGGACTGCACCCGTGAACCCGAACCGGCTAGGGAAGCTGCCAATTCTAAGTTTCGATCTTTTAGTATGTCTAACTCACCCGCGCAAACCATCGTTTTCAATGCCTTCAGATCACTCAATCTCGGTGCACCCCTAGCGAGAGGGTTGCACCATGGGTGGTCTCGCATCGCCCCTACAGGAAGTGCCAGCCGCCAATATGTATCAGAAGCCGATAGCGTTAACGCTGAGTTAGACGGCTGGCTAGACTTTTTCTCGGACATACTTCTTGTTTCTCCCCCGAAAAAGGGCTGAATCAGAATCATCCCCTTTGGTGTCGAAACGTGCCTAGACACTAGCCGTGAAGCCACGTGGTATGCAATGTTTGCACCAGCGCTGTCCCCGGCTAGGAACAGGTTCGAAAAATCGCACCATTTGAGCTCGTTAATGGTTCCTTTCAAAGCTTCTTGTTTTAGCCACAAAATGGCGTTGATCCCATCATCGTAAGCAGCCGGCAGCCGGTTCTCGGGAGCGAGACGATAGTTTACAGATACAACAACACAAGAAGTAACACGAGTAAGGTTTGTTAAAAATTCATGGTAACAAGCCCAAGAAGCCGATCCCACACAAAACCCTCCGCCGTGAAAGTAAACCATCAGCGGCAGCTTTGATGAAAACCGGCGGTTGATAGGGGAATAAACCCGAGCCCACAAGTTGGTATTAAACTGGTCTATCGTGACATCTCTGGCTGCAACCTCGAGCTCCAATGGCACCATGCAAGAAACATGAGGTACAACCAGAGGTCTCTCAACGTGGCCGTCGTTGTGAACACGTATCAACCCACCGATCTCTTCAACCACCGTGCTGTGGTGGTTTGGGCTTCGGAAATTGGTTGATCTTTGACTTAACGACATCGTAGCCATTTGAATAACTTGTAAGAACTCAGCTGGTTAAGTTATGGTTTGTGGTATGAAATGTGATCAAGACCTCTGTATATAAACCAGTTTGAAATCCACAAAAAAGTTCGGCATTTTTGTCATCATCTTTGAATGCCATTGACTTTAAGTCAATGATGCAGCTTGAATGAAGATATCGTAATCTTATCTGATAGCAGCCCCCAAAACTTTTTCACTACCCAAATTCGTACAGCTTGCCGTCCAAACGATGCCGTTGGATCTTTGATAAGCTACCTATTTCAAAATAAACTCTATATTTCAAAAAATTTAATATAAATAAAATTAAAATGTTTATTATTATTTAAGAAAAAATTGATCATCGACAATCTCAACCAAATACTTTATGATTATGGATTTATAATATTTCGTATAGAAAAAAAAAAAGTATAATTGAAACAACAACATTTTGTTTAGAAAATAAAATATTTTTATTCAGACATATCATCGATTTTTGGAATATAGTCAAAATCAACTTGAGCCGAAATACACGAATTTTGAAGAAATCGGTTTAATGGAATAAGAATATTTATTCCGACTATAAACCGTGTTGAAACCATGGCTATCTATCGTATTCTCAATCCATAAAAGATTTTATGCCGATTCATCGCTTTCCGTATATGTAATCATATATTCGCCAAACATTCTTCCCATCGTTCTTTTGGGGATTTAGGAACTTTATATCTACTGATTAGAAAACCCAAGTCCATCCAAAGTTGATTAAATCAACCGACCATTTATAACAGTTAAACTTGATTCTAACTTTTTGTAGGCCCGAGATCGAAAGAGTTGTAAAACAGGGGTCTGAGATTAGTAATTAAGAAGTATGACAAAACTTTAAATGTACATAGGTTAATTCATATGTTACATTTTTAATACATCTTAGCAACAATAGATGCATATAAAAACCCTCAATTCCATGTTACAATTTATTACTATTTTGTTACATATTTTGAGATATTGATTAATCTAGTTTTGTATCTTAAGATGAAAATAAGAGTTCTTGTACAGATCAATGTGTAAACTTAGACAATCAATCACCCAATCCCAACGTTCTCATTCAATTAAAAACGAGAGCCTTTGAATTATGAGGTACCTACAAAAAATAAGAACTTTTTGACCATTCAAACTGCAAATGCAATACTTAATGATATATGTCATGATCATGCCTAACAAGTGTACCATAGTGCACTATTGGTATGACCCTACATAACCAAATATATAGCTAGAATACAAATCCCAATTTATTAACCACTTCAAGTGATCGGTATCTTATACATATGAATAAATCTTTCGAAGATTATTCACGAAAATCAACAAATAAAAGATAAATCTATGATATTTAGCACACAAAGATCATCAGAGAACAATTATATCCATAAGAATGTAACAGTTACTATTTACCATCATAATTGCAATTGCTCTAAAAAGCAAGAAGACTGTGACAATTTGTCTGTTATATCATGTATTATCGTCAAGAAGAATTTCATTGTTTATTCTTTCAAAAAATATATAAGTTTTATACTGAATGAATCCTATAAAATAAATAGACACATCTCTTATTATCAAGTGATGGTGATGATGAAGACGAAAGCAAGGAGATTACGAGGATGCAGATTCATTCATTAAATGAAATTAGTAAAGGTATGTATAGATGATATATCGAGTGTCGTTATGTGTTAGATCTCTCATTATCAATTTGAGGTTGATGTTGTTGCAACAATGATGATGAGGTCATAATGATCAATTTATAATACTTGAATTTGATTATAATTTATCAAATTAATTGAGAAAGAATATATAAAAATTCTAATTTTAACTACGTTGTTACAATAATTATATACTAATCGCTCCCTTCAAAATAGAGTTAAAGTAGAAGTGATTATTTACGGGATCATGTCAGATAAAACTAGGTGTAACCTTTTTTTTCCAATAGGCCGGATATAGCCAACACAAACCATTTTTTGCCATGCTCTCACCTACCTTGTATATGGGTCACCTTTGCCACCGTAAGAAGTATTTTCTCTTAACAAAATATAATTCACGTAAAATTATAAATGTACCATAAAGAAAAGTTTAAAATTATGTTTGACAAATTAACTGATAAGCTAGCTGATAGTTAATAAGGTAGTTGATGAACAAATTATGTTTGACAAAAAATAGCTTATAGGCATGTAAAATTAGGAAAATGGACATCTTGAAAAATAGTTAATTTCAAATATTTTATAATATGATTCAAAACAAATTTTTAATAATAAAATTT